GAATCTGTAGGTAAACGGGCGTAGATGGGATCAGATTCTTCTACGAGCTTGTTTCTGCTGCTAGTGACAGCGTTGCTATGCACGTTCTTGTTTTTTGCAAAACTACGAACCAAGGGAATCGTGCAATAAATCCAACCTCGTGCGCAACCGACGGACGAACATTAATTCCGCGGGGCTTCTACCGGTGGTTTCGTTTGCCGTATTTGGATGAGCGAAAAGAATACGGTCCAAACGCAAACGCAGTAGGGCTGCTGGTTTCTTAGTAACATATTCTTCACTATCTGCAAGGCTCTCTCAGTCAAACCGTTTGATGACGGACGATAAGGCGCAGTAGTTACGTGTCTGATGCCATTCGAGGTAAGGAAGACGGAAAATTCGGCACTAGTGAATGCTGTTCCATTAGCTGACACTAGTGTTTCCGGAAAATCGAAGGTTGCAAATGCCGAACGCAGTTTAACTATTGTGTTGGCTAAATTTGCTATAGCCAGAACGTCGGCATCAATCCACTTGGAATGGGCATCAATGACTAACAAGATCAGCTGACCTACGAAAGGGCCAAAAAAGTCTACGTGAATATGTTTCTGTGGTGCTTCTGGCCACTTCCATGGCTCCATTGACACATGGGGCGCAGCGTTCCGATTCTGCTGAAAAAGCATGCAACCCCCAACTTTCGACGCAATGTCCCTGTCTAAATCCGGCCACAACACATAAAAGGGGTAGCGGCTTCAGTTTAGCCACTCCAGGGCGTGCAGCATACAGTTTATCCTGGATAACTGATCGCAGCTTTTTGGGAACTATAACCCGGGCTCCGAGGTTGTTCAAAATATGGAGGCTCAGTTATCATTAGCCAGCTAACCTCATTGTTCTTCAAAATCTGGCATGAAGAAAAGGTGCCTCCTTCCTGGGGCGAGTCAGTGATTGACCCGGTTTTTAAGAAGGCTGATCGCAGTTCGTGTACCAATCACGGGGAATTAGTCTCATTTCGATTGTCTCCAAGCTATCGGCATCCATTCTACTCCATAGACTATCGCTCATTCGCGAATATCAATACCGGCAAGAACAATCTGGTTTCCGACCTGGCCGCGGGTGTGTGGATCAGATATTCACACTCCGCCAAATCCTGGAATACCGCCACCTTTACCAGAGGTGTACCATTGTCGAATTCCTGGACATCCGTCCCGCATTCGACTCGGTTGATCGACCTGCACTATGGCGTTGTTTGCCTAGGAACGGTGTCCCCGAAAAGTACACTAACATCCTACGCGCAGTGTATTTCCACACCTCTGGCAGAGTGAGGGTACATGGCAGGCTCTCGTCGTTCTTCACTGTCAATAGCGGTGTACGACAACGCTGCCCATTCTATACCACTTGGCGATTCAGGCATCTAGGTAAGGAATGTGCTTCGCACTCTCAAAGTGTAAAGTGCTGTTTCATGAGTGGCACTCAACTGTTCCCGTGCTCAGTATCGAAGGTACACAGCTTGAACGAGTGGATAGCTTTGTCTAGCTTGGCAGCTGTGTGTCTGCTGGTAACGCATTCCACAAGGAGATTTCTCTCCGTATCACTAAAGCCCGGTCCTCGTTTGTCTACCTGTAACACTTGTGGCGTCGTCTGGATGTTCTCCTCTTGGTAAAAGGTCGTGTTTACAATGCCACCGTTCGGGCAGTGGTGCTATATGGAAGCGAGTCATGGTCAGTTCGCGTGAACGATATACGCCGCCTCTCGGCCTTCGACAAAGGGTGCTTGAGGTGTGTGGTGGCAACAACGCATCTGCAACAGTTAAGTCAGATGTCATGTCTTAGGGAATTCGAGTATTCCCTTCAGCAAGCTGGTTTTGCTGCGCCAGTTAAGACGGCTCGGTCATGTCCTGCATATGTCAGCTGAGTGGTTGCCCTATCGTGCTCTGTTTGCTCCTGCATGATTCAACTGGAAGAGACCACGTGGTGGTCCATCATCCACCTGACGACAGCAAATGAAATCGTTGACTTTACATCTTGCATCATTGGATTCACACGTCTGCCTGGTTGAGCACCAGAGGAGGAAAAGTGCCCATGGCTGGAAACAATTCAGGATATGGCTCATAATCAAAACTAGTGGAGGATCTGTGTAGCTAAGTGCTTAGATTTGAACACCTAATGCTTAACGATTAAACACGACAAAAAATATTTAAAATATGGCGTGTGCAAAATAACAAAGAGTGCTCCGTTGTTTTCTATATTGCGGCACCATAGCTGAAGTGCGTTGCTCACTTTCAGTTAATGTGCCATGATGTTGTTACGGTGTTTAACCCGTCTTCTCTTAGTGATTTCCATGGTTATGAGTGGCTCTATGTCTATTTGACCGACTGCTGACTACAGTACTACCATCACAGTCCACATCCGTTATGGAGACTGAGTTCAGTCGATCTGTTACGAAAAGGCATGAGTTTTTGGTCGTATTTTCTGGTCACCCGACCCGAAAGTAGCGTTTCACGAGTGCTAAAATAGGGTCTCTATCGGTTTCTCGGTGTGCCTGTTGAGGTGACGGAAGAGGTGTTAAGGTGCTGGATTAGGTTCACGAGTTCCTGTGGGGCAAATTATTCCTTTAAGGGATGCCGACTGAGGGCGTTAGCAGTGGTATTTTGCCGGCCAGGGACGTATTGAATTTGATATCTATATGCAAAGAGTATCAATGCCCAACGGACCATTCTATATGAGGCCATTTGCTGAATCCATTTTTCATGGTCAAAACTGATACAGGAGGTTTATGATCTGTGTAAATCACAAAAGGTCGACGGAGTAAGCAGTGTTGAAACTGAATAGTACCGAAAACAACCGCGGCTGCCTCTCCATCAAGCTGAGAGTAATTACGTTCTGCTGTCGTCAAGGTTCGTGATGCATAAGCAACTGGTCGACGAGAGCAGTCCGGTAGTTTGTGCAATAATACAGCAAGCTCGTGGGGTGAAGCATCACAAGAAAGAACAATGGACCTGTGTGCGTTGTAATGTACAAGAACTTCGGCGGATGCCAAAAGTTTCTTAATAGCGTTAAAAGCACTTTCCTGAACTGTTCCAATTCCAAGGTTGGGTTTTGCGTAAGAGTTGATGAAGCGGGTGCAAATGGGTTGCCGCTGACGGTATGAATCGTGAGAATAGCGTGACCGCTCTCAGAAACGACCGCAAATTATTCACCTTTTTGGGTGCCGGTGGATTAAATAGTGCTCCAGTCGTTTCTTCTGATGGGCGTAACCCATCTCGCGACAAATGATATCCAAGGTAACGTGCACTTGGAACAAAGAACTCACACTTTTTAAAACAAGCTCAGGATTTGACAATCTTTGCAGAACTACATCCTAGGTATGTAGGTGTTCCTCAGTGGCTCGTCCAGTGATCAAGATGCCATCCAGATAAGCACATGTATTGAGTATGTGTTTCACCAACGAGTGAAAAATACGTTGGAAGGTAGCTGGTGTGGAGCTTATTCTAAAAGGCATGCGTACATAACGAAATAGCCTTAGGTGTGTATTGATGATGGTGTTGGCAAGTGAGGCTGATGTTGCATTCTTGATGCTTCTTCACTGCAGTTGGGCTAAACCAACTTACACTTAAACTAGGTCTTTTTAAGCTGGCTAAATTTCATTCCACTTTATTTGGTTTGTTCTGCCTACCTGAATAATCTATTAACTGTCCACGTTGCTTACACTAATTGCGCTTATCTTCGGTAACTTTGTTGCGTTTTGTAGCATTTTTGACTAACTTGTGGACATTTTTTCCTTATCGCGGATTCGTTGATAACCAACTTACTTCATATGCTAATTTAGCGAGGAGTTATGTCACCGTATCTGTATGCATTAATGGATTTGTTTTATTTCATTTTGTCGTTCCAGGTGATTGGCTGTTGCTTGATATCCCCGGTGTGGCTACGCTTGATGTGCATGTTGACAAGGTGCCTAACTGTCTATTACCCACCACCTCGTCCATACTGGCTCCAAGAGACAGTTGGTCGTTGCTGGAGGGGACGAGATGCACGGTCCTTGTGGCCGTACTAGGCTCGAAGAGTGGTTCCATGCACTCAGTGTGGAGCGGACTACGGTCCAGCTACCGTCTTGTGTGTGCTTGATTTCCCAAATACATCGTGCTTGTGTTTGCCTGTGAAGGAGTGTGGGCCGACTCCGTTGATGAAACGTGGCTCCCATCCACATGCCTCCCGGTCTTATTCCTTCGGGTTTACGCTGGATATGGGGTGTGTGGTTGGAGCTGTGGGTGGTGCAGCGCAAGCCACCTGTGGTCCCTCTGTAGACGCAGGCGTCCTGTGGCTGGTCACAGTGACAGGCAAATCCGAAACCGGATGCCGCCAACCATGTTGGCAAGTGAGTTCTCATAGAGTTCGATCTGCTGGTAAGCGTGGCTAAGGTCTAGTTTGGTAAAAAGTTCACCGCGTGAGAGAGGGGCATAGATGTCTTCAATCTTTGGCAGTGGGTATCGGTTCGGTTGTAGTGCCTAACTGACCGTAACCTTGTAGTCCCCACAGATCCTTATGGTACCATGGCTCTCCAATACAGGCACTATAGGAAGTGCCCAATCGAAATACTTATCGGATTCTATTGTGCCCTCTTGCTGTTGTAGTAAAGTCCATAGTTTTGTGAGTGGGCGTGGTAATACACGGTTGCCCAAGCAGAAGTAGGGAGTTGACTTAGGGGACCCCACCCCGAGCCTTTGGCTAAACAACCTACCCGCAAGGCAGCGGAGCGCAATCAGAAAATCGCGCCCATTGGGAGTCGCTGATTGAATGTTCAATTCATACGTCATATGTTTAGTAGAATATCAAACAGGGGCCCAATACTACCCATGAAATAAGCACAACTGCTGGAGTACAATGTCCCATCGAGGTGGAACACTGTCGCCGAACACTTCGCTGGAACGGGGTACACCCGAATCACTCGGCTGGCATTACGAGGAGGCAAGCCAGCCTCACTTTCGTCAATTCAGGATTCGTAGCGCCAAAACATAGGTAGACGAGCAATTAAAAGCAACATTTGTGACTCACCCAGTGGCGATAGAAATAGTTCATCTGAGCGCGTTCAGTATCTTGGGAAACGATCAGTTCGAATTCTGAAGGAGCGAATATTGAACGCATTTTCGCAACAAAAGCGGAAGCGCTGTTCACCGATGCTTGAAAAAGAAAAATGATCAATGTTTATCTGTGTATAAAAAGCAGAGGGTTTCTAGCAGTTAAACTGCTTGATGATAATGTGATTGTATTATCTTTGTGGCTGACAGCGAGTACACAACGACGAATACAGAAGCAGTTGATCAATGAAATGGTCACTCATCTAAATTATTAGCTGATCCCAAAAGTAGAGGACCAAACAGATAAGTTCAATCTGCCGTGAAAAGAAGGAAAGAAGAAAAATGAAGTTAAGAAGGCAAAAAATATTCGACCTATCGAGTTGAAGGACCGCAAAATGCCGGTAGGAGAGGGCGCACCCAAAGCTCTTGACAAGAAGACACCATATGAATAAAAAAAATTCTGATGGAAAGCAGATCATAACATGGTAGGCCTTGAGAAACTTACGTGGCAATTCCACCTTCATTATGTCCACTCCACAACGCCCTTCAGTTGTCGCAACAATGACGGTGTACTCGCCGCCATGTGAAATGTTGAAATCTAGCCTAGACTGATAATCAGTCAGAAAAGGCCTTCCGAGATTGTCTCTTTGAACTCTGAGGAGAGTCGAGCTTAAATTTAACACGGAAACTGCGACATGACGCACAAGTAACCGACCAGCCTATCACTGATGGAGAGAAATCAGAGAAAGCCACTTACCAGTGCGCTTAGAACGTCACGTTGATGAACGAATCGCAAGGCAGACTGCTGATCTTCTAGAGGTAATCTTGAGAGTGCAAACACAAAATCGATTTCTGACGGACTCCAGGTGTCATGTCGGAAAGCTTTCCGAATAACTTTCACCGACATCCTTCGCAAGCAGAAACGCAGACCCGCGAAAATTCATACATGATACATTATGGGCTGAGAAACTGGAAGACAGAAGGACAAAAATATCGGAAAGTAAAATTACAAAAAAGCATTTCTGGGTAACGGCTTCACTTGAAGCATAGGTAAGGGAGATAAAGAGAGAATAACGACCAGTAACGAGCCACAATGAACCTACAAATGTACGCATGCTTGTACAGAGAGTAACAACTGACCACTGCTGCGCATATGAAGCATATGTTCTCGATTGTGGACAATGGTGCTCATTTCAGCGCGTTCGTGGCGCCTTTCAGCATTCGTCTGAACCCAGCTATCTTCTTCAACTCAACCGTCATTACAAAGGAGAATATAATAATTTGGGATTTGAATCCGCGACAATTACAATAAGGTTGACAGTGTAACAAGGAAACTAAACGTATCCAGTCCCAGGATTGGCTGCATTGTCTTGTGTGCCTACCTAGAAGCATGAGGTTTAAATAGACCGTCAAAATGCGCTTGAAAAAGGGCTTAAGCAGTAAGCATACAGCAGATAGTTAATTTCAATATCAAGGGTGAATCATCATACATTCTGCGCAACAGCTGTGGATAAGAAACATCGCAGCCGTTGTGCCGCAATGGTTTCATTAAAGGATAATAAAAAAGAAAGAAAAAACAGCAGGAGCGAAACAACAAAAACATTTGCTCGTTTTGTTTTATGTTTTGACGTCAACATGGTGGTTGGATGGAAGCATTAAGCAGGATGCCCGTGGCGAGCCAGTACGCTATCGGACGTGTCCACAAGTTATGGTAGTAACCTCCTCGAAGACGATGAATGAGCAGTCGCGAAGAATCAGCGGTAGCGTGGCAGAAGGTGAAGAGTTCTGTATCGATCACCTGGATCTCCATTAAATACCAGAAGAGTGCGTAAGGCGATATAACAAAGCCAATGTGACTGGACATGTGGTCAATGACCACTCACGTCTGTAACCAGAGATGAGTATCTAACAGAAGACGGAGGAATAATCCTATTGGCCACCGGCTTCTGCGTGGACTGCACCGGACAAAAAGAAGGCGTATGAGCTACCTGGCTATCAATGGTCTTCGTATTAAGCGGCTGGTTGGACCATCCAGCGGCATGCTTTAATCGCTCCCCTGTCTTGCGGTTAGGTCTTAAGACCAAAGACGTTGTGTGGAGTCACACATTAACAAAACGGAAACTCTCTGCTCCCACGACAAACGAACTTACGTAACCCTTTATCTGACTGTTCTCCTTTTTTCTGTTGTTCCCGATATGTTGTGCAACTTGCCAATTATTTATTGGTCGAGTGTTGGAGCCGGTTCCGAATTTGTCTATCAATGCCGCCTCCATAGGACAGCCGCAGGACGCCTGCGAATAAAAATGCACCATGAGTGGCTTGCGCTGCATCACCCACAGCTTTATCCACACACCACAAATCCAGTGTAAACCTAAGGAATAAGACCGAGAGGCAGGTGGATGGGAGCAACGGAGCCGCCCACACTCCTACACAGGCAAACACAAGCACGATGTACTTCAGTAATCAAGCGCACACAAGACGGTGACTGGATCGTAGCCCGCGCCACCCTGGATGGAACCACTCTTCGAGGACGGTGCACCCCATCCCCTCCAGCAACGACCAAATACTTCCTGGAGCCAGTATAGACGAGGTACTGGGTAATAGACAGGTAAGCGCCTTGACAACATGCATATCAAGTGCAACTACATCAAAGATGTCAAGTAAGTCAATCACTTGTAATGACAAGATCAAATAAAATAGATCGCAGACACCATACGGATATGCCGACACAGTTCTTCGCTAAATTAGCATGTGAAATAGATGGGCTATCAACATATCCGTCATAAATTCAAAATGGTAAAACAAGGGATCAAAAAACACGCAACAAACGAGAAATTAACCAACATTCGTTTAAGCGACGTGTGAAAGTTAATAGATCATTCAGACAGACATTAAAAGGCGGTAACAAAATAAACATTAAGATAATATAGCAGACCAAGCCTCTGAAATAAAAACGTAGCACCCAAGCACGCGGTTAGTAAATCGAATAGAAGCGCATACAGCGTACCTACCAACGCTGCGCTGGTACTACTTACGTTCACAGGAGGACCCGTCTTCGTTTGAATACTGGTCCCGAGCGGCCTCGCTCGTGGCTCACTAGAACTGCCTGACTAGGACACTCGTGATTGCATGCGCTACAGCACCATGCGCGCGATGTCGATGGAGTACACTCCATCAGCGCTTGCCGCTTCTTCTCCACATGCACGAGGGCTTTCTCCTGCACTTCAGCAGATGCCTTCGTGATCAGATCGTGCCATGCATGCCGATAAATCACCTTCGATTCCCAACACCACAAATCAACATTAGAACGTGACAGATTCACCTTGATTATGTCCTAGTAACGAAGCTTCGGTTTTCGCACTGTCGTATTAACGCTTTTTCATTTACTCATCTGATTTTTACGTAACGCGTCATAACCTGCTGTCTTTGATTTCAGCTCTTATACTTCCATTGTTAGACCAGTAAAGCGTATTTCTCCGTCTCTGATTTATCTCATTTGTTGTGTGCTCTCTTCGTTAGACGCATCAATTTACTGGTCTAACATTTCCATAGATGGCAATCGTTGCCCATACAAATTCGATATCGATTTAAATGCATCTGATGTTTCAAAGCCATTGACCCATTGGTTTCAAACATTCGACGTTTTCCTAAAACGAATTCAATCTGACGACTTAGACAAGCTAGACATGCTTGTTAACTTTCCTTCGCATTAGGTCTATGAACATGTTTTCGAATGCAAAACATTCGATAGCGCCGTTACACTTCTTCACTTATTGTAGGTGCGCCCCAAGAATGTTGTTCTTGCTCGATACCTTCTACCCACGTGCAAGCAAGAGTGTGACCAAAGCATCGATCAGTTCGTGCAAAACGCCAAGCAGTCGGCGAAGGATTGTGCTCTTCGTTCTGTGTTAGCTGAGGAATATCGTGGTGATGCTATGCGTGAAGCTCTTATAACTGGATTACTGGCGAACATCATCATCATCATCATTACACGTTAGCTGGAGGTGGAAAACACCTCAGCTATTGTGCCGCAATACAAAAGGCGAGAAAAGAAAAGAAAACAAACAAACAGTGGCATGCCCGCTGAGTCCCCAGTAACGGATAGACATCGTTCCGGAGAGCTAACAGCTGGCTGCCGTAAAGTTATATTATGCCTAACGATTGAGATCGTGATTGGAGGGGGATGGACAAAGGAACTCACAACACAAACGCCATTGGGGCCGGCTCCTAGCCATATCAGCAAGTGTGTCCAACCAAACGTGTTCACCGTCCTTAGGACCCCAGCCAGGCAGTCGGGATGCACCAACCGACGCCAACTTCGAAGCGAGGGTTTTCATTTCTCTCGACCAAGTCATCACTTGGCCTCCCCTCCTCCTCTTCCAACCGCACCCACAACGCGCAAACAATGCACGTCGTGGGAGTCGGTGTGCTGGCATGCGCAACACGTGCCCCAGCCATCGGAGCCTGGTGCGTGATATAATGGTGCTGAGCGATTCACTCGCTCTTCCTGCACCAAATACGCGACGCCGAACACGCTCATTGCTCACGCGGTGTTCCCACCAGACATGAGCTAAGCTGCGAAGTCAGCGATGATCGAACGTGACGAGTCTCTTCATGTCTGTCGATCTGATGGGCCAGGTTTCACAGCCATATAGGAGAGTTGAACGGACGGCTGCGTTGTAAACTCTGCCCTTGAGGGCGAGAGTAATGTCGCGTCTGCGCCACAGGTGGCGGAGATTGGCAAAAGCACCTCGAGCTTTTGCTATACGGTTCGTAACCTCATCTTCAATCCCACGGGTGCTAATATAGCTGTCCAGGTACTTGAATTCCTGAACGACTTCTAGCAGATCACCACCAAGCGTTAGCGCAGGGTTGGGTCCCTGCCAATCTTGGAGAAGTACTTTGCATTTCGATGGAGCAAAGCATAGCCCAAAACGATTGACAACCAGTGCTAATCGGTTCAGTGCTGTTTGGCATGTTTGGGAGCTGTCACAGATTAGGGCAATATCGTCTGCATACTCCAAGTCAAGAAGTCGCTCACCAGGGAGTAGCTCCACACCTTCTAGGTCGTGTCCAGCAAACGCTGTTTCCAGGACTTCATCAATAGCGAAGTTGAAGAGGAAAGGTGAAAGCGGGCATCCTTGTCTCACACCGCTGGTGATACTGAAGGGTGGCGACAATTTGCCATAAACCCTCACCCTGCCCGAGCTATGCGCGTACAGCGCTTTGATAATGTTTACATATTTATCAGGCACACCTTTCCTCAGCAGACAGTCCCAAAGGGCACATCGATCGACTGAGTCGAAGGCACCTTTTATGTCAAGAAACACGACAACGGTGGGTCGCCAATAGACATGGCGGTGCTCCAACACTTGACGCAATGTGAAGATGTGGTCGATGCAGCCCCGACCTCGACGAAATCCGGCTTGCTCTTCACGAATCTGGCTTTCACGAGTGCCAGTCAGTCTGTGGAGAATGAGAGAGGCAAGCAATTTAGAGGCAATCGAAATCAGACTGATCCTTCTATGATTGCCACATTCTAAACGGGAGCCTCCCTTGAAAATTGGGACAATGACGGAGCGGTTCCAGTCTGTCTGGACTGTCTCCTGCTCCCAAAGGTTTAGTAGCAACTCGTGTAGATCATCTACTAGAGCAGGTCCACCGAACTTGAAGAGGGCTGGAGGAATTGTATCTGCTCCTGTGGCCTTATGCAATTTCAACAGCCTGATCTCACGTTCGACTTCTGTGCGTGAGGGCGGATCCAAGGAGACGGCCCAAGGAGAAGGGCGCTCAATGCCCGAGTCTCCTGGAACAGACGGTTTTAAATTTCAAACAGCTTATGATATCACAAGGTCTCTCGACGTTGCCGCTAAACAATCAAGGTCCTACGAAACTGAGATATGCCCC